GGCAAATGACTTCATCCTCAAATCTCCCATTGCTAAGGCTTCCGAAACAAGGTTTTCAGCACTTTTTAGAGTTCACAAGCAGCTAGTCCCCACTCCCAAAGTGACTGAGAATGGTTCCAGTTTTTAAGAGGGAGCCCTGTTAGCTATGGCATTCATAGTGCCAAGCCCCCAAGAACAGCATCCTTTGTACATTAGTTTCAGGATAATCGCTACTCCTGTCTGTCTCATGTCGCAGACAGTCTATACATCGTACTGTCTCTGAGGTCACTTACCCAAATTGTCAACTCAAAGTCAGTGAAAATGAAATGAAGAAAAGGAAATTCAGTCACCGGAATAAAGTTGAATTTCATAACTCCTTCCTCAGTTTGCACCACGTGATAAAAACCATGGTCCACGAAGTGTCATCGAGGATAACAACAGAGCTCAGAAAGCGTTGCCCATTTTTTCCCTCTCATCCATTCTAACAACCAACAGCAAGACTCAACTCAAAGCCATACAAATGATGCTCTTAATTAAAATTATGAGAACTGAAGGCAATGGGAGGTCAAGACAGATGGAGCACCCTTCCCACTAACAGCAGGAATTAAAAAGGCCCCTTCTCACCCTGTACTCGTTCCTGTGACTTGGTTTGCGGGAACAACAGGACTATTTGTTGTCAAATGCAGAAGTTACCACCAGCACACACTTGCATATCCCTGCTGAAGTCGTGCTAGGTTTTAAATGAACCTGCCCTGTATTTACTTACCCTCCTGTCATATTTCCTAGGTGAAAGGTTTAATTAATCCTTCACCCTAGAAGCAATCTGCACAAGAAATAGCTTTATTGGGAGTAAAAGTCAGAGCAGCAAACTGTTCGTCCTGTGAGTAGCAATTTTCTTACTGTGTTTTCCTGCTCTTCAAGGGAAACCTTGGTCCCCTCCCTGTGCCCCAGTGATGAATGCGGAGTCCATAGAATGATCCACCATGAACAAGAGTTGGAAAACGTGCTCCCATTACCTCTTTTCCTCCCTTCATTTAAGATGCTCTGGGCACACGTACACTCCAGAGCACAAATTCAAACAGGCCCTCTATATCCCAAGCAAACCACACTGCTGGTCCCGCCCATTACATTTTCTCTTTCTGTTTATCAGGTTAACAGCTCGGGGCACACACAGCCAGGATGTGAGAGGCAGGTCGCCACAAGCGCTCTCCCCCCACCCAGCCCCCCTCCCCACAGAAGCCGCACCCACTTCCATCCGCCTGCCTTCTTCCCCAGACCTTACCCTGCCCAAGAGGTTGTCCTGAAGCAGCGTCTCCTGGAGCACCGGGGCCACCTCCTCCAAGCTCAACATGTGGCAAAGGTCGGTGAGTTCTTCCTGCCCCAGGGACCCGGTGCCTGTGGTGTCAAAACTGTCGAACAGCTCCTTGAGTCGGGCCTCATGCTGGTCCTGTTCCACCTCATCCATCCCATAGCCCACAGCGCTCACCTGTGTGGGACAGAGACAAGGGGGATCGTGGCAGCCCCCGGGGCTGGCCGACTGGGACCTCGGTGGAGGCTGGCAGGAGAGACAATGCTGCACCTCGCCGCCCCTCCCCGCCTCCCCCCAGAGAGATTGCAGGGCTCTCCGGGAGCCAACCCTGGCCAGTTGAGCTTCCATGGCCACTGCCACCAGGGCCCCAGCCACAGGTTCGGTCATGCGGGGTAGTGTTACCAGAATGACGAAGTCTCCTCTCCTGCCTGGTCCTTGGGCGAGCGAGCGGCCAGTCCCAAACTCAAGACGGAAAGCAGTTCTCTATCAGCTCGTCTGGCCCCGGACTTACAGTGAAAGGCCACCTCGGATACTCAGTCCTTTCCAACTAACCGGTAGTACCCACAGGCTTTCACATAAGTTGGTGAGCTGTGGACCACCTGCCCAGATGTAGCACCCCACTCCTGTGGTGCGGCTATCTAGTTCCCCTTCGTTCAGCCTAGATGCCCCCCATCACCGTCAGCCTGCAGGCAAGCAGCCAGAGAGAGGCACCCAGCAAACCGCCTCCCTGTTTACAGGAGACACAAAGCCTTTTACACAAGTTCCTCAAAAAGCAGTGCAATTAACTTCCTTGGAGCAATTACAGGAGGTGTGACGGGAAGAGTATTCCCTGAAGCTCACTTTTAGCCCCCGGGAGTTTTAGGTAATGCCTAGTTGCCTAGAGAAAGGAGAAAACACTACTCCCAGTTTTCAGATAGGGAGGTTCAGAGGAGCCGCAGACCACACGAACCCTACAGTGTCAGGGAGCCTCCCTCACCCCGATCTCCCATATGCACACCTGTTCATCTTTCTTCTATCCTTCCAACCCCAGTCTTCCATTTCTCCACCTTCCGTGGGATCAGTGGAAATGTGGACTCGGGATTAAAGCAGAATCACTTCTGCTAAAAATAAACACCATTAACTTCTCAGTCCCTCATATATTAACAGTCAAATCTTCGGGGGTGGGGTTGCTGGCACAATAATTCATTTTTAATGTGGTGGGGCTTCCGACGAAAGCCTGAAATGAGCCCATCGGAAGCTACCTTCACCCTGATGCAATGGAAGCCAAACACAACATCGCCCTCGAGACGGTGACCTCAGCCATCTGAAACCAGGCTCTCAGAACCAACCCCCGGACTATAAAAAGCAGCACTTGCAAAAATATTCTTATCTTGCCATTATGTTTTTTACTACGCTAAAAAAAGACATAACAGGACATCTAGTCTAACAAAAATTTATTTAAAATTTTACGTGTACAGGACAGCCTTCTTCACTCTATGTGCACCGCTGTACAGCAGACCTCTGGCATGGTTTCATCTCGTGCAGTGGAAACTATACCCTCTGCAGAGCCACATCCCACCACCCCCTTCCCCAGCCCCTGGCAATCCTCACTCTAGTTTTAAAAGCAGCACCTTTACCTAATAAAAGCCCTGAGTAAGAGAACTCTCTAACTTAGAGGTGGATGTTTGTTCATAGAGCAGATGGGAAACACGGGCAATGTACAAGTTCAGGTGTGGAATGTGGCCAGAACTGAAAATGAGAGAGGCTCCCAGGACCCATCAGTGCTACTCTCTCTCCCCCACAGACAGCTGTCCGGAGCTCACGAGCTCACCCAGAGCCATGACCATCCCAAGAGTTTCAGCAGAACTGGATGGACTCAAGGTGGATTCAAACAGCTCAACCACTCCTCGGTTTTCACTGAGGTCACTCCTTAAAGCAAAGGAGCACCACTTACGTCCAGGCTGCTGGTCTGGGTGTGTGTGTTGGGGGTGAGGCGGTGGGATGGGGGTTCTTCTAATTATCAGCTTTTCTATTACTAAGGTGCTGCTGGCTCTGGCTGCCTTCCCAGAGTTGGTCTGTTGGGTTAACTAATCACCATGCAAATGTTTTCACAATTAAGTTGAGAGTGCTATATAAACATGAGAGCACCAGAAAAGAAACACCAAGGTGTTAATGCAAAGCCACCAAAGTTAGGGATTTAGACAAGGCCAATGCCTGGCTCGTTAGATTCACTTACAAGTCAGCCAGTTTGCTGTCCTCTGCTCTGGGGTTTTCAGGGCTTCCATACCTCTTCAGCACCCCTACCCGGGCTACAATCTGACTAATGTCATAAAAGGCAGTCTATTCTGCTTTCACTTGATTTTGCATATAAAACAAACAAACAAACAAACACACCCTCAAAAGCGAAAGAATTCTAACATTTCCTCTTTTTTTTAAATTATTTTTAAGGCATGGGGATTGGTTCATTTAGACCAATGAAAGAGGGGCATAGAACTCAGAACACACTGAGAAGTCCTATCTTATCCACAGCTGTGAATCTGAGAAGCTATCATGCCCTGTCTTCTTCAGGAGGTCATTGGACTTTCGCTAAAGCAAATCTCTTTCGCTTTTTTTTTTTTTTTTTATCTCTTTATTTCATCTTCCCTCTTCCCAAGACACTGTGATTTGGAAAACATTCTTTTGACTGAAGGGGGAAAACAGTCCCAACTCTGAGGAACAAATGAGCATACGGAAACATCCAAACGATGTTGCATATGGTGACAAGTTGTCAGATTTCGTTTGGCACAGAATGCCTTTTTACTGGATGATATTATCTCCCAAATGTTCATGAGTAATTTCATGTGCAAGAATTTTTCCCCCTGCTTGGCAGAAATTTCCTTCAGGACAAGGTCCACAACTCATTTCTTTTATATCTTCCCCCAAATGCATAGTACAGTCTGTTCCTCACACCAGAAACTCAGTAAACACCAAGGACTGACTTAGTGAAGGGAGATCCCTTGAGTGGAAATTTCCCCTGGATGAGAGTGACATAATGAGCACAGGAAGACTTTGAAATGCCTATTTCTTCCACAAGCACACCTCTCCTTCCCCCCATCCAACCCTTTCTTCAAAGGCATTTTCAGTCTTAGATGTACCTAACCAGAAGTAGAAGCCAGGACCCACTCCCAAACTATAGCATCCAGAACCGTCTGGAGTTGGATTAAGGAGTTAGTGATTAAGCCAATGGAGTCATAAACTTCAGCTGCATTTGGGGTTTTTGTTGTTGTTGTTTTGGGTTTTTGTTGTTGTTGTGTTGTTTTGGAGGGGGGGTGGTTATAGGATGTGACTTTGGAGGAGAGTCTGTACTAAAACACTTTCCCAAGCCCCCTTGTTTATAAAATGGGAATAATAATACCCATCTAGAAGGGCTGTCCTGGGGGTTAAAGACGGCAGGCGAGTGACAGGATAATCCCAGAGAAAGTTGATACAAGAGGGGAATTGAGAAAACCACCATGAAAATAGAAACAACTGACCAAGGAAGAATAAACTGAAGAAAGGTAACTTACAAGTCAACCAACCATGGATCTGCCTTCGAGGAAGCAGAGCAGGAGCTGCAGAATGCCTTACAGACAGCGAGAATGCACAGGGCAGGGAACAGGATTATAAACAATATTATACTACTAACGGGTCAACCGCAACGGGTAAGGCTCAGCGCTTACCTCCATCTTTAAAGGCAGATTACTGATAAATTTAACATCAAACAAAAGCAGAAAGGCTGAAATACAGTTGGGACTTAAGATGAAACTTTTTTTTTTTAAACTTCTGGGTATCTACTAGAAGTCTGGCCTATGCTGAGTACTTTACATAAACGAGTTCATTTAAGCCTTCTAATTCTTTAAAGTAGACCTCACATTCCCATTTAAGATGTAGGCATTGGGGCTTGGTGAAATTAAGCAACTTGTCCAAGGAGAGAGTGCTAATACGGGGGTGGAACTGAGATCTGAATTCTGGTCTGACTCTAAATCAGACCCTCTCTCAGGGCTATGCATGCACACAGAACACAGGAACGGGACCACTGAAATGACATCAAGACAAATCCCTTATCTCCACCTTCACGTGTTAATCAGCTAGACTACTGAGTACCAGAAACCTCCAGGAAAACCTGATGGCCACAAACTCCTCCCAATCGGAGTGGAGGGAAGGGTGGGGATTCTCCCTGCCTACCGCTCTAATCCATTTATTGAATAATTAGAGCCTATAAGGCACTAGAGATATGCAGAATAAGCACTCTTTTTTTCCAAAGCAGCTTTGGAATTTAGGGGAAGGAAGAAACACTTTTTTTTTTTAATAAAAATGATCGGAAGAGCCCCGTATTTTCCAGCAGTGGGCCTGGTCCAGAAATTGATCATTGTTAAATTACTCCCTCAAAATACTCAAGTATGTCTAATCTGTGCCATCAGTGCTTTCCAGAGTTAAAGCCTAATGGACACCCACCAGCGACAGAAATCTTCCTCACAGATGAAGAACGTTGGGTTTTGAGTGACAAACCCTCCTTCAAATCACAAAGAAAAATTCCAGTTTTATAAAGCTCTCCACCCCACCCCGGCCAAGCAGGGGCCTCTCTTCACCTGCTACCTTCCCTATCACACTGACAGAAGCCTTCACAGTTCCTCTGGAATAGAAGGGCCAGGGTGGGCAGTATTTGGGAGTTCTAACTAGGGACGGTTAAATAAGAGGCAGATGCACAGAGCCATTTATCAAAACATTTACCACCCAATAAGCACCCATAATGAGAACTATTTGGAGCGTTTTCCTTCCAAATAACTCAAAACAAGGCTGCCAAAATGCCTAGACCCGGATGGGGATGTCCATCACAGTCTGTGCTACTGTGTGCTACTCAGCAACCCCGGCTGATGAAATCAGCACCACCTGGGACTGGGAAAGACACAGGTGAGGAGCCGCTGGAATAATGAAGTCCCCAACATAAGGCCACCATGAAGTGGCTACGTGAACTTCTGAACTTTCCAGCATGCAGGATACAGAAAGGAGCTTGTAAGAATGGCACCCCAGCCAAAGGGGACGTCTGTTCTGGGCCACAGGGAGTGAAAAAGGGACAAAGTCTGGCAAGGGAAAACCAAATAATAAATGAGCACAATGCCAGAGCCCCTAGCCCAGGCCTTTTATTTCCCTCCAGATGGTCCAGCAGCTGAACAGCTATGTGGAATGTCTGGATGCCCCTCTTGGCTCAGCCGCTTTCCTTGGGTATCACAATAGATGCTTTTAGGTTTGTGTTCAGACATAGCTGCTGGGGATCCACAGACCAGGCAGTGACCACCAAGTGACTAATTTAGTTACTTTATAACTAAAGCGGTCAACATGGACAAACCCTGCTCTGGGAACACTTTTCATTCACGCCATTAGCTTCACCATTTGGCAAGTCGGAGCTTCATAATGCCAATGATCAAATTAAAATGTTTCTTTTTCTTCTCTTTTTTTCAACCACTCTAATTGCAAAGATTTCCATTCTTAACATTTGGATTCATTTCAGTATAAAATGAAATAGTGACAAGAATAAATTCAAGTTGAGCAAAAGCTTAATAGAAAAAGCGACTATTTACATATCTATATAGGATATTTATGCCAGAAACCACAGCTGTTCATCACAAGGACTCCTGTCAGGTAGCCTCCTCTCAGCTCCGACAGTACCTCATTCCTAGCTGGATACCACAGGCACCAGAGTATCACTAGGAATAAAGTCACGGGATACAGATACAACACAAAAGTTTAAATGCCACTGCACAGAAACAAAAATGACATTACATATATTTGAAAGACAATAACCACCTTGGTTAACTACATTATTAAACTGAATTTAACCAAGGACGTTCTCCTAGCATTTATTCTAAAACGTTAAAAAAAGTTTTAGTATGTGACTATCCTGAACCATGTGCCAAACCCAAGCTTTTGTTAAACCTAACAGTGAGGTGGATTACCAATCACGTAGTTAACTCAGGGTAGCTGGAGGAAAAAAATCATTAGCCTAGCACATTGTAGAGTCAATAACCTGTAATCAGCTACTAAGTAAAATTATAGAAGCAGAAAACAGAGCTCCATGTTTGTTACTTTCTTAAAAGAGACTGCTCATAACAGTTTCACTTCTTGAGCCATATTTACTGGAGTTAATTCAGAATGCCTGCAGCTAGGGGCACAGTCCCCCGGGGGGGGGGGGGGGGGGGGGGGAGGAGAATCTCTTTTCCTGCCTATAAACAATGTTTTCTCAACTTTGTATTTTATGTGAATGGTAGGACATAAATACTTTGTAACTGTTCCATTCAAAAGCTTCAATAAATGAGTAACTGCTGATATACACTGCAACAAAGAAGTGTCCTAATTTAAAAAAAAAAAAGTTGCTCACTTGTATATTCCCATAATCTTTTTAAAATTCTATTTTATTTGTAAATAAGAGAAAAACATCTTTTTGCAAGCCTTGGTTTCTCCACAAGTTCCTGCCCAATAGATGTAAGCTCAATAGCCAGAATTCAAACCACATAATTTATTGGCTTACAGATGAATTGGCATCTATAAAAATAAACCTCCTGAAAACGCTTTAGAACGCTTGAATCCAGCTAACTTGCCAACCCTTTATCAATGTGAGACTGATAAAATGTATTTTCATTATCAACACAAAATGGAAGCATCAAGACTGGTTAAATGTTAGTTTAGAAAGTCATTTGCAGTGACATTTAAAACAATTTAACATTTGACTTATGATAAGAATATTGCCCATTAAATTAAGGTTGGCTGTTCAGAATTCACTGGGGTCCTCTTCTCCCCCTCTGTGACAGTCAACATATTTTGATATTAAGGGTCATCGCATATCTAAAGCGAAAAAAGACGAAGAAACCAGGCCATTCTAAGCAAGTGCCTATTAAAATGACTGATCCTTGACATTTTTTAATGTGAAGACTGTGCCTCTGATGGCTTCCTTTCCACTGCCCCTGTAAAGCCTTCTCCTGCCTTGGCAATATCTTTATTGATGCCCAACCCATTTGGAACATCTATAAGTCCTTCCCTTTATCTCTACTGCAGTTCAGAATGGTTTCCCGTTCAGAATGGTTTCCCCTGCAGAATCCCCACGGAACAGGTGAAAATAAATCTGTAAACGAACTCCCCAGGAGTTCTCTTCACCTCCTTAAGAACACTGACAACAGCTGAAGAGACAACAAACTGCTTTTCAGCCAGCCTGTAATGTTACTTTTACACACAGTCTGGAAATCTTCACAACACCCCACACACACACACACACACAAACCTCAACTCTATAGAGCCAGTTGTCTGCTAGTATTTCAGGTCATCCACTAATATGCTAGCCACTAGAGAAGATTCAAGACAAAATTAAGCTGACACAGGAAAAATATATTTCCTTGTAGAAAGGCAAGCCTCAGGAAACAAGCAGACATAAATTTCTGTCAACCTATTTAAGGGAGCCCCACTGAGAAATCCTCCATGGCCTCAGGAGCTCGGCCCATATGCCAGGACGGATTTTACCGGGATTTTAATCCTAAAAAGCTACTATGGCAGTCACAAAAGACAACCAGGCAATCTGATTTGATTTCATAAATTAAGAGTTAAGTTGTATGGCAAGTCCACTTCAGGAATTCCGCTGCCCCTGTTGAGTAAAGAAGGCCCCCGTTCTTATAATCGCTAAGTTGTCGAAACAAGATACAGGGTAGAGCAATCTTTCCCCCCCCCCCCCCCAATATTCTGTGCGCCTTGACCCCGGTTTGTCAGGGCTGGGACTAGGAAAATGCCTCTTTCTCTGTCTCTCAACTTCACAGAAAGAGCTTTCTGCAGTAAATTGTTTCCATCAGCTTTGTCCTTTTGTCAGGGACCGGTGTGGTAGTCGCAGAAGCCCAGCACTGGGAATCCTGGAAGCTTCTCCCGCAGCACGCCACACTTCCATTGCAGTGGTCTGGCGATCAAGGTTTTCAGGCAATAACAGTGTGTCATTTGGTCCTTTTCCCCTTAGTTCTTGCTCAGTGCACTGGGAAAGTCTTGCTATATGCGTTCCCCCCGCCCCCGCCTTCTGAGATGCCCCCCTTTAAGGGCCCCAAACAGCTCTCGGCTGCTCAGACAGCTCAGGCTTATCACCTCGGGTCTCCCCAGACAGGTTTCTCTTCTGAGGCTCTATCACGAGGCTGCCTTGGTGGCACAAGGCAACAGCACCACCACCCTTTCTGCTCCCTCCCGGGGTCAAGTCCACTCCTGGGTCTACACACAGAAGCGGCTTTCAGCCGCCGCCGGCGGGCCGGGACCGCGGGGGCAGCCGAGCAGCCCAGACCCAGCCGCGCTGCTGGGCGGGGAGGCGGAGGTGCGGCCGGAGGGCGGGCACGCCGCCCGAGTCCCCGGGCAACCTGTGATGCCCATGCGTCTCCGACCTGCCTGCCCGTTGCACCCCCAGAAACCTCAAACACCCCATTGTGTCACCAGGCGGCACGCCGCCTCGGCCCCCGCCGTCCTCGCCTACCTTCTGGCGGCCTCTCCGTTGCGCCCGCACCGCCGGCCGCCCGCCTCCAGTGCTCTGCAAAGCGAAGGGGGACGCTTTGTTAGGGCTCAAGAAGCGGGACAATACTTCGCAGCCGGCGCCGCGGTTCCGGGCGGGCGTCCTTCAAAAGGACGCGACTGGGGACCCGCGCGAGCGTCATTTCCATATGTAAGGAGCCAGCGCGTACAAAAGCGCGGCTCTCCGGGGCTGCGGCGCGCATCCTCCCCGCCCGCCGGCAGCGCAGCCCTCGCCTCCAGGACCGGCCCCTCCTCCCGCCCGCGAAGCCGCCCCCTCCCCGCCTCGTCCCCCAAGGACGCCCCGCGCGCAGGGACAGCTCCCGCCCGGGCCCCGAAAGGGAAGCCCCAACCCGTCCGGGTGTGGGGTCCGCCCTGGGCGCGCAGGGCCCTGCCGACGGCGCGGGGGCGGCGCGAGGCCTCTGCGCACCCCCAGGCCGCGGGGCCGGGGACCCCGGGAGTGGGCTCCTCGCTTACCGCGTTCCGGGGCTCAAGCGCCCGGAGCAGCCGCGGGGACCATGGCCGCGGGCGCACTCAGGGCTCGGAGGCGGCGGCAGCGGGACGGCCGCGCCCAGCGCGCTCGGCTCCCGGCTCGGCCGCGGCCACCCGGAGCTTTGGACGCCGGGGAGGAAGGGCCCGGCCCGCGCGGGGAGGAGGAGCCAGGGCGACGCCGGCCCGGGCGCGGCTCCTCCTCCGCCGCCCGCGGCGCTGGGGGCGGCCCGGGGAGGAGCGCCGAGCGGTGTCCCGGCCCCCGCGGGGTCCTTCCCCCCAGCCCCCACCTGGACGCGAACTGCGCCCCGACTCCCGGGGACTGCTCGGGTCGCGGGAACACAGCCCCGGTCCCGACTTGGCTGCTGCGTGACGCTTTGGAGATTTGAACTTGGAAAAGCCAGGTTCGCGGGGTGCAGGTGGAAGAGGTCGCCGCTAAGGAGGGGCTAGCGCGTCCACCCCGCGACCCCTCTGCCCTCTAGCCTCTCCTTCCAAAGCCGCCCGCTCACACTCGGCTGCCCCTAGAACTCCCAGCCAGCCACGTCTCCGTGTGGAGGAAAGGCCTCCTCCTCCAGCCAGCGGGACCTTAAGGTAGGGACTCAGGTGCCTCTCTTGCCCCCGGGCGGTCCTCGATTTCTTGGCCCTTGAGCGCTCTTTGGCCGTCCTTGAAAGAGGGCTCCAGAAGACAGAAGAGCTCTAGACTTGACTGAATTCTGGAAAGAGGGTGATCCCCCCACCAGGTCTAAACTGGGCTCCGCACCTGCCCACCATGTCTTCAGAGACTCCCGCCTCCTATCTAGCCTTCCGCGGGTACATCGAACCCTTGGTCACTAACCACACCGGACGAAAAATCCTTGGAACTGGTAGTTCTCCAGCCAACGGTTGTTCGGTATTTACCGCTTCCTACCCCTACTTCCACAGCTCCCCCAGAGTCTCTCCTTTTTCACTCCTCCCACCCCCATCTCTACACTTCTGATCTGGATACAAATAGGATCCCAAGTCCAGGCCTTCAGGCAGCAGCTGTGGGCAGGTGACATCCACTTTGCTCTCTTTGAACGGCAGGGTTAAATGCATTGGCCTTGAAGAAGGAGCCGCCTGATTTCTTATAACCCACAAGTCTGGTTATTTCTGCAAGAAACTGGAGAATATTCCCTTGCTACTGAAAGAACAAGGGATAGACGGGAAGGAAACCAGCATTTATTGAGAATCTAGTGTGCTGGAAACTTAGCAGAAATGATCTTACTTAATCCTGGCACCATCTTTAGAAGACAGACATTATACCCATTTTGCAGATGAGGAAACTGGGCCTCAGAGTAGGTAGGGAGTTTGTTCAAGGTCACACAGCTAGTACTTAGCTGAGATTCAAAAGTATATTACATATGTGACAAAACTGCACCAAACTAAATACACAAATGAGTACATACAAAAGAAGTGACATTGAATAAGGCCCTAGGATTATATGAATGTCAGTTTCCTGGTTGTGATATTGTACTACAGTTATTCAAAATATTACCATCAGATAAAAAATCTATAAGGGGTCTCTCTATACTATTTCTTAAAACTTAATGTGAATCTACAGTTGTCCCCAAATTAAAAGTTTGTTTTTTAAAGCATATCAGTCTTATTTTAGAGCCAAGTTCTCTTTCAGCACATACTCACTCCTCCCTCCACCCCCCCGCTTTTAATACTCTTATCACACACACACTTATATACTTTATGCGCGGTTCCATCCAGTAGTAATTAGACAACACACAGACACACTGTTAAGTGAATAGCTAATTTGTGACCAGAATACTTATGTAGGTGTCATCTTACAAAGAGAGAAGATTGTTCACTGGGGAGGGAAACAGCCAATAGTCTTAGAAGGTAAGAATGAAGAGATGTTTCCTTTTTTCACCTAATCTCGGCCATGGGAGCCTCATCCTATGTTCTCTGAGCATCCCTTTTTACCTGCAAGAATCCTTAAGGTTGGGATTGCTCATTAATTCAAAATGGTGATTCTTGGGAGTCGGGATTCTGGAGGTGGTATTCACTCCCTATGAAAAAAGGTCAGAATTGGTGGGGGTTGTGTGGTTTGAGAAACAGAAGATACTCTTTCTTGAGAGGGGAGAGTGGGGTGGAGTTAATGCTGGGGCTAGAAACCTGGGATGACATCCAACCTCCAGCCTTGAGGCAGAGGAGGGGAGAGCCCGGAGCATGGCTACTTTGCGGTGTAGTTTTGCAAGGACAGTCTTACCAAGGCAGATAATTTAATACCATGTGCCTGCAATTTAGGTTGCACGGGGGGGGGGGGGGGGGTTAATCTTAGTGCAGTCTAGAGTCACTGGAAAAAAGCAGGGACTTACCTTAGAACCTATTACTTGCACTTTTCTGTTAAACAAAAATGAAGATAGCAGAAATAGTAGCCAGGTTCCACATCTGCATGATATGCAATAGAAGGAAAAAAGAAAAGAGCCAGAAACATTTACCCAGCCTTTACGGACCACATTTCACTTTTATCCATTGCAGTTCGTCTGTCTCTGATATTAACTCTTACCTTACAAAGAGCCTTGTTCAGGGACTCAGGATCCTTAAAGTATTAAGATAGGTGACGTTTTGAGTAGCTTTTGGCAACACTTTTCAGTATTGGATTGGCTTTCTCAGGTGGCTAAAAGCTCTAAAAAGTTAACCAAAGAATAATCGAAGGAATAATCTTTCTTCTTGAAGTAACTTTGTAATGATTAGTTTAAAATCAGGAAAAAAAAGTGAATTTTTTTTTTAAGAGAGAGAAAATTCGGGCTTTGTAAATTTCCTGGGATCTACAGAGTTATCTTTCTTTGCTGGGCAAGGAAAGCCCATAGTTCTAACCAGACTCAGTCTACCCTCCCCCAGAGTCACACTCAAGTATAAGTAATTTTTTTCACAGTAGAGTTAAAAACAAAGCAAAACAGGTGGCGCCTGGGTGGCTTGTTGGAGCATCTGTCTTCAGCTCAGGTCATGGTCCCAGGGTTCTGAGATAGAGCCCCACATCAGTCTCCCTGCTCTGCAAGGAGCCTGCTTCTCCCTCTCCCTCTCCCTCTGCAGCTCCACCTGTGTGTTCAGTCTCTCTCTCTCTGACAAATAAATAGCATCTTTAAAAAACAGAAACAAAAAACAAAACAAAAATCCTTCTGACCCTCCATGGTAACTCCCAGCCCTTCTACACTTCTTCAATAAATGCCTTTCTTATTTCTCTGACCATGTGAACTGATCAGAAACAATCTTCAGGACGCCTGGGTGGCTCAGTGGGTTAAGCCTCTGCCTTCGGCTCAGGTCATAATCTCGAGGTCCTCAGATGGAGCCCTGCATAGGGCTCTCTGCTCAGCGGGAAGCCTGCTTCCCCCTCTCTCTCTCTGCCTGCCTCTCTGCCTACTTGTGATCTGTGTGTGTGTGTGTGTGTGTGTGTCAAATAAATAAATAAAATCTTAAAAAAGAAACAAACAAACAAACAACCTTCAGGTAAGTTACAGAGCTGCATCAGGGAGGGCTAACTGGTTAAAGCAGATCATCATTTCTAGTCCAAGCCAGGGACTGTCTGGGTGGAAGGGGCCCCATACTCTCCCCCCAAGAACCTAAGGAAATGAGTGGTGAAAGGAGGAAGGGGGAAATTTGGGTTCTACCCAGATGCACAAGTCAAAGCCCAGGAGAAAATTTCAGTGACAAAATAATGGTGGTAAGAACCCAGGAAGATGCTGGGAAGAAAGGAGATATATACTGGAAAGGGACGGGAAATAGAAGGCAAACTGATTTACACTTTTGTCCCTGAAGAAACCTCATTAAGAATTAGGATTCCCTATTTTCCCTCATGAAATATATGAAAGAAGAGGACACGGGGATTTAGCACAATTTAATTCATTATTATTACTTTTAAAGTAAGCATTGAATTACCTACTTTGTGCCTACAACTGTCCTGGAAATCATGAGATATTCAAAAGAAACATCAACCTTGGCTCTTGCCCTTGACTGTGTCATTCTCCCTCAGGGAAGCAAAAAACACACAGAGGAGAGAGTAAGGGAATAATGTTAGGTAGCACTGGATTCTTCTTCTTCCTCCTCCTCCTCCTCCTCCTCCTCCTCCTCCTCCTCTTCTTCTTCTTCTTTAAATTTTATTTATTAGAGAGAGAGAGAGAGAAAGCACAAGCAGGGAGAGGGGCAGAGGGAGAGGCAGACTCCCTACTGAGCAGGGAGCCTGACCAAGACCTCAACCCCAGGACCTTGGGATCATGACCTGAGCTAGACAATGACCTGAGCCAAAGGCAGATGTTTAACCAACTGAGCCACTGAGGCGCCCCTAGGTAGCACTGGATTCTAATTAGGTCCTCCAGTTGGGGGACACACACATATAGCATGACAGGAAAGAGAGGGATGAGTCCCCTAAAACATGACTTCCATTAGATGATTCAGCCCAGCATCTGTCATGTCACGTCCTAGATCTCCTTCCTGATACGCAAGGCCCTACTTGATCCCTGCAGATGGATGTTTGCTCAATGTCCCCCGACAACACACCCTCCTTCTTCTCTGCTCTCATGTGCCTCTGAATCTTCCCTGTGCTACTCTTTCTGCCCCGATCATCAGTCCGAAGTCATATTGTAATACTCTGTCTCTGTTTCTCTGTCTACTGTTCTTTATTTGACCCAGCAGTTAACACACAGCAGGAAGTGGTTATTAAACATGTGCCTTCTGGAGCTCATGAACTGAGTATTTAGGTGCTTTCCAAATATTTGGCACTCACGTGGGGAAGAGATGTTGCATGCATGTGTGCGGCAGGGGAGGAGGGTTGCTCTTTACATTGGGTAGTATCTATTTTCATGTCTCTGCAATCTGGAAATGTTCTACTGTTCTAGAAATTAAAGACTGACACTCGAGCTTCACTCGAGTGTCGTTCCTTCCCCTCACACTCTCTTCAACACTTAGCCAGCATGACATGAAATTTTTACCTCTTGTTCTAAAAAGACCTTTGCATGGAAAAATGATATAACATTTTTTCCCAAGCAAGACTACTGAAAGTTTTCTAGAATTTGAGGTGCATCCAGATGAAA